CCTATTAGAAGAAAAAGTGGGAAATACCTTTGAATTAATTGGTACAGGAGACTGCTACCTGAACATAACACCAGTAGCACAGAGACTGAGATCAACAATTAATAAATGGGACCTCCTGAAATGAGAAGCTTATGTAAGGCAATGGACATTGTCAGCAAGACAAAATGGCAGCCCACAGAATGTGAAAAGATATTCACCAACCCCATATCTGACAGAGGGCTGATCTCCAAAATTTTCAAAGAACTCAAGAAGCTAGTTTCCAAAACACCAAATAATCCAATTAGAAAGTTGGGTACAGAACTAAATAGAGAATTCTCAACAGAGGAATCTAAAATGGCTGAAAGACACATAAGAAGGTGCTCAACATCCTTAGCCATCAGGGAAATGCAAATCAAAACAACTTTGAGATACCATCTTACTCCAGTCAGAATGGCTAAAATCAAAACACTAATGATAACTTATGTTGGAGAGGACATGGAGAAAGGGTGAACACTCCTCCACTGTTGGTGGGAGTTCAAACTTATACAGCCACTTTGGAAATCAGTATGGCGATTCCTCAGAAATTGGCAATCTGTCTGCCACAAGATCCAGCAATCCCACTTTTAGGCATATACCCCAAAGAAGCACATTCATACAACAAAGTCATCTGTTCACTTATGTTCATAGCAGCATTATTTGTAATAGCCAGAACCTGGAAACAACCTAGATGCCCCTCAACTGAAGAATGGATACAGAAAATGTGGTACATTTACACAATGGAGTACTGATGGGGGAAGAACTTCTGTGTATGTTTATCTTATTGATTGTTGAATAAAATGAGACAGCAAGTTAGAAGGAACTAGGAGTCAAAGAGGATTCTGGGAAATGTAGTAGAGAAGTGGTGATCTAGGCAGGAAATGACATAGCAAGGAGACTCATATTTAAGCGAAGGAGAAACAGGAAGGGTCCCTTTTCCCCTTTCTCCTCCAGCAGCACAATGTGATCCACCAGCAAGGAGGGACTCCAATAAGGTGTCCAATAAGATAAGTCTTATAAAATATATAGGTTTATGATAATTAAGACTGAGCTAACAGATGAGAACCTAGTCATTGGCCAAGCAGCATTGTACCTAATACAAGTTTCTGTGTATTCGTTTGGGCCTAACTCGGGCTGGTGGCTGGTGTAAAGCACACATGTGGCAGTGGGGCTCAGCAGCATTTGGCGGAAAGATTTATCGTAAAAGAGTACTACTCAGCAGGGGGTGGGAGGTGGGGGGGATGGACAATGAAATCTTGAAATTTGAAGGCAAATGAATGGAAATGGAAACCATTCTGAGTAACACAGTCACAAAATGACAAACATGTTATACACTCACTCATACATGGATTTTACACATAGAGCAAAGGATTACCAGCCTACAATCCATACCACTAGAGAAGTTAGGCAACAAGGAGGAGTCTAAGAGAGACATACATGGTCCCCAGGAGAAGGGGAAAGGGACAAGATCTCCTGAGCAAATTGGGAGCATGGGGGGAGGGAGCTAGGAGAATGAGAAGAGAAGAGGGGGAGTGAGAAGAACATAAAGGAGCAGGAAGGTTGTGTAGGGAAAGAATATAGAAGAGCAAAATAAGGGATACAATCAGAGAGGCAGTCAGTAAAGGTTCAAAGAGAAATCAGGTAATAGGAAAATGTCCAGAAATCTACAAGGGTGACACAAACTAACAATCTAAGCAACAGTAGACATGTTACCTTAAATGCCCTCTCCTGATGATGAGATTGATGACTGACTTATATGCCATCCTATAGCCTTCATCTAGCAGTTGATGGAAGTAGAAGCAGATACCAACAGCTAAACACTGAACTGAACTAGAATCCAGTTGCAGAGAAGGAAGAATGATGAGCAAAGTGGAAAAGACCCAGCTGGTGAAACCCACAGAAACAGCTGACCTGAACAAGTGGGAGCTCTTGGCCTTCAGACCGATCACTGGGAAACAAGCATGGAACTGATTCAGACCTCATGAGTGTGGGTGTCAGTGAGGAGGCCTTGGAAATCTATGGGACCTCTTGTAGTAGATCAGTACTTATCCCTAGCAGAGGAATGGACTTTGGGAGCCCATTTCACATACAGGGATACTCACTCAGCCTAGACACATGGGGGATGGCCTAGGCCCTATCTCAAAGATTATGACAAACTCTGGAGATGCCCCCATGGAAGACCTCACTCTTCCTGGGGAGCAAAAATGGTATGGGATAGGTAGGGTGTCAGTGCAGGGCAGGGGAGGAGAGGAGGGAGAGGGAACTGGGATTGACATGTAAAAACAATCTTGTTTCTAATTTAAATAAAAAATGGTGAAAAAAAGAAAGGCAAAAATCCTAGAGGCAAAAGATAGATGGGAAAGTTCAAGAAAAGCTGGCAAGAAACAAGCCAAGCTAAGACTGAGCATTCATAAGAAAAAAACAAGACTCCATGTGATCTGTTTGGGAGTTTGGTTGTGGGCCCCCTACAGAGCCAAAAGAGTTAAACAAACAAACAAACAAACAAAAAACTACACAGTAGGCTATAGATTTTGAGAGTCTCTTAGACAGCCCTGATCAACAACTCAAAGGAGAGCTTCTCATGTCGGTTGGGGATTTTGGTTGCAGTTGTGGAGCCCATTCCCAATGGACATTCACAAAATACCCCTATAGCCAAGGCTCTGGAGAAATTGTGGGGGTAGAAAGATTGTGAGAGCTAGAAGATCAAGACTTTACTGTGATATTATATATCCTAGTAACATCAGAAGTTATACCTATAAACTCTCAGCAACATGATCACCCAAACATGAGCAGAATAAGGAGAACACCAATGATAATTCATTTTTAACTAGATGGGGAAAGCCCATGAGATCTCACCCCTACACAGAGAACTACAGGCAACTGAGGAAAACTGGAAGCAGGAGAGGTGGTCCTCCCCAGGCAAAAGCATGCCAATTGGTTATCTCATGCCAAATGGTCAGTCATTAAAACATACATACAAGTAATGTTATATGGATGCAGCAAGTTATATTTATGAATATGTATAGACAGATTTATAAATATGCATGCAATAATAAAAAAAGAATATATCTTTTATGTCTCTTTTTGTGTACCAAGTAAAATTATATTCCTCACAGTTACATTTTTCAGGGACATTTATTCTGTTGTTTTAAACTGGTTTCTTGTTGCTTTTCCTTCACATATTTGATAGTCTTTTCTTTTTAACTTGTAATATCAATGAAAGATAAACATGAGACATTTATAGTACAGAAGTATTTTAATATATTTCTTGAGAAAGAGTTGAGGAAATAATTCATTTCATAAAACATTTGCCTTGCAAGTTCAAGACCAGAGTTTTATCACCAGAATACACATTAAAATTGCCTAGAATCCCTAAAAAATGCAAGGCTGTATATAGTATGTGATTATAATCCCAGTATTGAGTGGGGGCAGAGACAGGAGGATCCCCATGGTGCTCTGATAGCCTGCCTAACCTACGTGATAAGCTTCTAGAACAGTGAGACCTTGTTTCAAAGGAGGAGGATAGCAGCAGAGGCTATCCTCTAACCTTCACATGCATGCACTTACATCTACTTGTACACTGGAAAAAATGTGAACATGCTTACATATGTACAAACACACTTATACATAGCCATATTTTTATTTAAGAATTTCCAACAATGACAACTCTTATAAAAAGCATCCAAGCACAGGACACAGAACTGCAGCAAACAGCATTCTTATGTTTGCTAACAGACATGAGAACATCCACCCTCTTTGAGACACCTGAGCTCACTGGTGAACTCTGCTTCCAAGTTCTTCTGCAAAGCACACCACAAGCTCAGTCCATGTTCGCAGCCCATCAGTTTCAGTTCACATGCCCACACTTCCAGGTCAGTAACAGAGGAGAACACACACCATACAGCATTCACAGCAGTTGACAGAGGGGAGGGAAGTACAAGTATTTCACTTAACATTCAACTAAAGTGGGTTTTCTAAGAACAAAACTCAAAGTCTTCCAACAGATGTGGATGTCCTTTGATGCAGAAACACTCATACGTTATTGGCTATCATTGCTCTCTGCACACTCTCTCACCAAAGCCACAGGATTGGGTGACACATCTCTCCAAGTTAAAAAATATCCATTTTGCACCACCAAGTCTCTGCACGAACTCTCTCCTTTCCTTGCTCATACTAGCCTTTCATGCCTTGGCACCACCATCAATCCCACACAAGGTTTCAAAAGTTCAAACAGCCTTCTGCTTCCATGTCACAGCCTTACGTTCATAGTGTTGATATGACCCCATGAAACAAAGAGTAGCAGATAAAAATGGAACACCCACCAACAAAGACGCAGCCTGTGCAGCGTGATGACGAGATCTTGGATGAGAAAGCAAGTAGACAGAAATATTCCTATGGCAGAATATTTACAGCACTACTTTCAATGAAGTGCTTCTTCCATAAAAATTTGAAATGAGATGAACTGCAGAGATTAAATTAAGGCTTCATATTGTGCTTTCATATATGAAGGAAGACAAGTGTTAAAAACAAAACCAAAAGAACCAAACACCATGACATCATGATCTCCCAAATGGAGACTTTCCTAAGGGAAAAATTCATAGGGTGGGATTCAAATTAAAATGAGAAAATGGTTTCTACTCTGAACATGCAAAGAATCCATTTAACAAGTCCAATGACAGATTATTACAGAGAAACCTTCTAACATCAATTGTAGTGTTGGTTTACCAATTAGGCAAACAGTTCACTTTCACCCACTCAGTATTTTAACCTTTTATATAACAAAACATAAAATTCATTTAGCTTTTCCTCTTTTTCTAAAAAAAAGTCAAAAATCCTGCTGAATATACTCCACACTGAACAAACCAATCTGAAAATTTTTAGTACATATGTATTTGACAATATACTTACCATGAGTTTAGAAAAATTTGAATCCCATACTAGACCTACCAACCTATCACTGACCAGCCTACCACCATGCCCACTGCCTACACGCCCCAGCCAGAGGATTTAGAATCCAAGCTGGAGCCGAAGCCTCCATTGAAACCGCTGCCTGACCCTGCATTGGATTCCGACCCCCAACCAAGAGGATCCCCAGAGTTAGAACCGCTGTAGGAATTATTTCCGGAGCCAAAAGCCTGATTTGGTACCCTCTGCATGCTGCCCTGACTTTGGCTATTACCAGATGGACCTGACTGGTTCAGCTGGCTGACTAACATGCCCATTATACCCCCAACTACTTTGCAATGCAGCCTGGGCTGCAGCCATCTTCGCTGGATTAATGCTAAAAGCTCGGAAGTTCATTCCTCCACCCATGTTACCACCCTGGTTATTTCCCAAGCCAGCACCGCCCCCTCTACGTTGCCAAAGCCACCCTGATTCCCAAAGCCACCTGGATTACCACCAAATATTCCACTTCTAACTGTCTATTGCTATTATGCTTAGGTTCAGTATTGGATATATGCACGCTAATTCCTTTCATGATCAAATCCTCTCCACAAAGGGACTGGGCAACCTTATTATCTGCAAAGGTAACAAAGGTAAAAGCCCTGAATGGTTTGGGAATTAAGACATCTACCACTTCTCCATACTGGCAGAAGAACTGCTGAAGCTCTTCAGCAGTCATGTTTTCTGTACAACGCCCAACAAACACCTTTCTGCTTCTCAAAGGCTCATCTGGGCTTTGCTTAGAATTGGGGAGTTTACAGTCACACCATCGCCCATCTATCATATGTCGCTGTGACATCACTTTCACTTGGGTTTCATATTCCTTAAATCGAACAAAGTCAAACCCCTTTAAGTGACCAGTGTTAAGATCTTTCTTGATCTGAACTATAAGAACCTCTTCGAAAGTACTGAAATAGTCTTTAAGATCTTGTTCTGTTGTTTTCCAAGGGAGACCCAGCGCTATTAGATCAGATGTTTTCTGGACTGCTCTTTTCACTTTCATGGCCGAGGAAGCATCTATCACATCCATTTTCCTTTTGTTATCTTTGGGATAGTTGACCACATATACCAGATTGCCCCAGCCAGCATCCGGGGCATGCAGAATTCCTTCCACCAGCCGGATACCCCTCATACACTGAGACACCAGATTCCGGTATCGCAGGCCACATGCCCCTGGAAACTGGGCGGTAACTGTGGACAGCAATACTGTTCCGTCGTCTTCTAAGGGTATTTCAATGGGCTCATCATTCTCGTCTTCTGTTGCCCAAATATATTCAGACATCTTTGCTTAGTTTTCTGCTAGGCCTCCTCTAGGAAGCACGAGGAGGAAGCCAGGATGGCGAGGAGCCCGATACCCGCCGAGCTACTGCTTCGTGCCCACAAAATCTACACAGACATATTTTTAACTAATTTATTTATTATACATCCTGACTGCAGTTTCCCCTCCCTCCTCTCCTCCAAGTCTTTTTCCCTACATCCTCTCTGTGTGTCCCCCCCCCATCCACTCTTCCATTTCTATTCAGAAAAGGGCAGGTCTCCCATGGGTATCAACAAAACATGGCATATCAAGTTGCATAAGACCAAGCACCTCCCCTTGTATTAAGGCTTGGCAAGGCAACCCAGTATGAGGAATAGGGTACCAAGAGCCAGAGAAAGAGTCAGAGACAGACCCTGTTCCCACTGTTAGGAGTCACACAAGAAGACCAAGCTACACAACTGTCACATGTATGTAGAGAGCCTAGATTCCATATAGCCTCCCGTGTTGCCAGTTCAGCAAAGACATACTTTTTAAAGTCTTAAAGGAAATTAAAAAGCAAACTAACAGGAAGGGAATTATAGTTTCAAAATGAACAAAATACAAAATTGAATTGATGAAATCTAAGCTTATCTTTTAAAAGAGTTATAAAATCCCTGTGTGTGGTTGTACATACCTTTAATACCTGGGGCAGGCAGATCTCTATGAGTTCTGAGCCAGCCAGAGCTACGTAGTGAGACCTTGTCTCAAACTCAAAAGGTGGGAGTTCTTTTTTTTTTTAAATCTACAAACATCCAGTTAAGTAAGAGCAAAAGTTTGTGTGTGTGAGAGTGACAGATGTGGGAGGATCAGAGAGGGGAAGGAGGGGAGGGGATGGGTGAAAAAAGGAGGTTTGGCAGAAAGAGTGTGCACAGAAAAGTGCAATGGTCAGCATTAGTGACAACAGGACTCAGAGAGCAGATACCGCTAGAGCTCTTCATCTATGAGATAGGAGAAAATTTGCTCAACATTTTCTAATATAATTATCAGTTTAAATGAAGTAGATAACAATCCTCAATTGGTTAAAAAATCAATACCAAAAGAAACACAATATATTTTTAAAACCCTCAGATCTCTTAAAGAAATTGAATTTATAACTTTAAAATCAAACATCAAATATTGAAACACATGTAGTTTTATTGATGAATTCCATGCTGTGTGTAGGGTAAATAATGTCAATTGAATGTAAACTCAATATTCAAAAATAAAAGAAACCATTTCTACCAATTTACAGAGGCAAGCACCACCCTGATATCATACCCACAGAGAGCCACACAGTCCTTGGATTCCTCTGGTTCAGACTGGAATATTCTGAAGTTAGAATGGTTTTATCCAGAATAGAGATTGCAACTCAATAAAAACACAACGAAATACAAAATAGACCAGCAGAGGGCTTTCTGTTTTTAAACTGACACATAACAATGTTAGAAGCCACTATTTCTGTCCTCAGTAAGAAAGGTTTTGAATAAGACTGAGAACTAGTGACTCTTAAACCCATCAGAGAACTGAGGTCACAAGGCACACTGCAACCCTGAAAGCTGGAGGCTCACAGTCTGACACCAAGGCTTACAGTGTGCACGCAACAGAAGCCCTGAAGTGGACCCAGCATCCAAGATATGAAGATTTAGTTGTCGAGCTGCTAATGGCTCCGTGTAGACTTACGTGCAAACTACAGATGACCCAGAGGAGTCTCTCTGTCTTGTGAGTTTTACCTTCATGAGTTCTTGTGCTAGCAAGAGGAGGTAAAACTAACCAGGGTGAAATATACCTGTCTCTTCCTGTTCTCTTTAAGAAGACATTCTGGAAACAGAGTTTTAGCAGAACCTAACTGACATGAAGGAAGAAAGAAACCCAACTCAAGCTTTTCATGTGGAGAAAAAAAAACCCTGATTCACTCTTAGCAAAGACCCAAGAAACACTGTCAAAGGCCCCCACATCCATGAAGCTCCTAAGTAGCAGATCTCATAGCTTACAGAATTCTAAGACATTTTTAGTTTGTCATGAAAACCTGGAGAACAAAGGAGAGACAAAAAGGAGACCACCAAAAGGACTCCCTGGGAAGTAGTGGATACAAACTACTTCCTAAAAAAAAGAATACAGAATCTGTCTTGAGACCCCAGGAATTACAGCCATGAATATATAAACATAAGGCATGGTCTTGTACATTAGAATACTGTTTATCAATAAAAAGAAACAATAGGATTCTACAGCCACAGACTGGTTGAGTACCAAAATACCATGCTGAATAAAGTAGACGTTAGACCTGAGAAACGCATGGCCTGATTCCATTATATGAGATTCTGATCTATAGTGTCAAAAAAGCAAGTTAGTAGTTGCTTGGAGGCTGGGTGAGAGAATTGTAGCAGAATATGTGAGTTAGCTAACTTTGTAGAGAAATGGAGATGTGTAGTTCATATTGTTATCAAATTTACTAAGCTGTTCGCTTAAAATTTATTGTTTTGTACAAATTATACTTCAACAGAAATTATTCTGAAACATTAGTTTGCACATATTTAGGGTAGAGAACACTGGTAATGTAACTATAATTCATATGGAAAATTAAAAAATAAACCACCTACTTCTCAAAGTAATAGAGTCTTGATTCATGCAGTCCTTTCAGAAAATCATGTAGAAATTTATGACAATGGCTTAACCTTAAATTAATGGGAAAAAGGAAGACTTATAATTTGTGTTTGGACTATGGGAACATGAATGAGACTGTAAACAAACGGTATGTCTCACTGGAATTTTATATATTTTACTAAGACTAAACCCAAGTGAATGAAACACAGATTTATACAACTAATGAAGTCAGCCTAAATTTAGAAGAAACAATTGAAAATTACAACTATAAAATTGTCAGCCTCACCTATAATGTGAATCAAGACAAAAGGACACCAAAACCAAACCATGTGGTATTTGCATTCACTTGGCTGAGGAAGATACATGTACCAGGCAGACAGGCTTGCTTATGCTTTCCTACACTCCTCAGGGTAAAGCCTTTTATGATGCACATTTTCAGCCTGGATTAGCGTGTCAATGTCAACAAATGGAGAAATGAAAATCCTTTTTTTTATGTTATTCTAATTTGTCTTTTTGCCTAAAAGTGCATATGAACTATATACCTATTTCCCCAGGGTCATTTTTTCTAAATCCTCTATTGAGCTAGAGATAAGGTTCAGTGTTTAAGAACACTCTTCAGACTGCTCTTCAGAAAGCCTTGGTTTAACCAGCAGCACAAACATGGCAGCTCACAACTTTCTGAGCTCTAGTTTCTGGGGATTGATGTTCTCTTCTGGCCTCTCTGGACATGAAGCACACTTGGTACACAGTCATATGTCCAGGCCAAGCACCCACACACATAAAGTAAAATTTTTAAAATTATTATTGTGTGTGTGTAGTGTGTTTGTGTGTAGAGACAGGTGAGGCACAATGTATATGTGTCAACCAGAGGGATAAACGTATGAATTCAGTTCTTTCTTTCCAACATTAGGTAGGGTTCAGGGACTGAATTTATGTTGCCAGAGCATGCACAGAAATCACCACTTTGCCACCCACCTCATCAGCCCTTCAAGATCATTTATCCACAACCTGAATGGAATAAATTACATGCATTTTAGATTGCTATATTCAGAAGACTACTTGAAGGTGTAACATTGAGTGGTCTCTGAATTTACAGTAGTTAGAAGATGAAGTTCATTTTTTTGTACTAACATTTATGTCACCTTAAGTCAAAATCAAATTATACTTCTGATGAAACAGGATTAATAAGGCTTAAATGTAAAATTCTCTCTGTATATATCTATATGCATTAAATGCTTCATTTGTTAGGTTAAGTAAAAGACTATGGCAACACTACAGTCACACAATGTAGCCTGAGTTAAATTTGAAATAACATACTAGAGTATTTAATGGCACATGGTCAAGTTAATGGCATGTGTCAAAACCTGGTCAGCCAAGAATCAAATGAGCAGAAAGTTGAGTTGATTTTATATAAATAGTTATCTTCATGCAATTCAAAGTTACTAAATTAACAGTATTTGTCAAATATTAAACTTCATAAAAGACTTGATAAAAAATGTCTAAAACATATTAGTAAGCTTATTTCACAGTAAATGATCGACAATCTCAGTCTTTATTAGAATCTAGAATCTGATTGGATTGTGCTCTATTTAGTCTTAACTGTTGGCACTAACTAGATCTTACTACTCTGCCTACAGAAAACACATATAGACAGAAAACAATAGAGAGATTGATAGATGATAGAAAAACAAATAGAAAGATGTAGAGTTGATAGATAGGTAGGTAGATAGACAGTAGATAGATGATGGATAGGTAGATAGATAGACACACGATAAAAAGATGGATGGTAGACTCTAAATCAGTATCCTGAAGCATACAAGCAGCATTTGCATGTTTGTGTTACCTATGAATTGGACATCTAACGAGATTCTCATATATAGCTAAAAAGACACTTTTCTACTTAGAAAAATATTTATTTAAATATCTACCAGTAACAGCTACAACTCTGTGGACTCAAATATTATCTCTTCTAAAACAGTCTCATTACATAAGCAAAAATAAAACAAACAAGAAAAGCAATGACAAGAGTATAAATTAGTCTCATTGCATGTTTGAAAGGAAAAAATTTAATAGGACTCTTATCACAATTTCTAATAAATATTCTTTTCACTAGAATAGTTAAATTTCTCCTGTGAAATACATTTATTTCTGAGAAACATGTAATCTGTGGGCACGAAGTACACAAATTATATTTAAATGTGTCTATTAGGGAAATGTTTGTTCCCTAAGGATTATAATTCAGGAGTTCGCAGTAGTCTGTGGAAAGTCATGAGTTCCAAATCACTTCTTAGGTACCAGAATTACATATAATCACTTCTCCATATTGATGAAATAAAGAACAATTTTTGGTTAGTGAACATGGAAGAATGGGTTTGAACTATCATTTGCTCCCTAAGTCTTACCTT